TATAGCACAGAATCTTGCCTTAGCATGCTTTGTTCTTGATGTACGAAGTAACAATACATTGCCTCTGAGCTAAGTGATTGTGATGTCACTGAGTTCCCAACTGTCATGTACTTAGTGCCATACCTTAGTCCCCAGGAGCAACAGGCTGAAAGGGCATAGTGATGCTGAAAAGTTTGCGCTATGAAGAGATACCTAAGAATATATATGGGAAGGTAAAGTTCCCATCAGCAAAATATGTCATATCCGCAATCCCAGTTTTATCTTGTATTGACTTTATTACATCCTTTCTTGTAAAGCACCTTCAAGACCTTTCTGAGAAGAGATAAGTCTTTAAGGAAGTGAATACTGTATACTTCATTTCTAACCTAGCCACCAACACTTAGTTAAGACATCAAAATGTTTATGGGTTGGGTTTCTTAAAACTTGATTTCTTTATTTTCTTTGTTTCTCTTGCTTATGTTACTCTAGTTTTCTATAATGATCCACTTAAGCACATTCTGTCATGTTTTCAAGCCCAATCATGTTATCCCAAATCTGGCAAGATCTGAAAACTAATCAGTGCACATTTCTTCTAGGAATAGTAAACAGGAGGTGGGGGGAAATTTTTTATATTCTTTTTTCCCCCCTAAGAAATGATTCTATAACAATAAATAATGTTATAATCCTCTTTGTTTTTATTTGTTCATTTACAATGATTCTATATCTGTTATAGGGTTCTACAGAGAAGTTTTATTTCCATGCAGTTGGTTTACTGCTTTTCTTAAGTTGAGTGTGACTCTCCATCCTCAATAGCTATTAGCTTAGTCAGTGTATTCTAGGCTTATTTAAGTTTCAGGATTCATATCGTGTGACTTTTTCTCCTCGCATCACATTAACAGTTTCAAAGCAATGTGCCATTAAAGTGTTGTGGCCATGTTTCTTGCTTTGTTATTCCTCCCAGTGGATCTGACTATTGATTCTGTTTGTCATCGAGGGAGAGATTTGTGCTACAAGCCCCTATAGTTTGGTGTTGTCAGGTCTTTGAAGGTATATCCCCTCTTTCATCTTTAGTGTGCATATCTGACCTTTTGGAATGTCGCTTTAAAATTTTTCAAAAATTATATCTCAGAAAAGCGAATGGTCATATTCCTGCACATACTTTATTAAGGTTGTAATCAGCTCTTCAAAATTAAATTTGTTGATTGGTGTAGTGTCCTCAGTAGTGTCTTCAGCTCAAGCAATATAGTAGCATTGAATTCTCTCCGTGTTTTCTGAATAACTATAATGGAATATATGTTTGGTATCTTTGCATTTTTTTTTTATCTCACTGTGTGAACAAAAGAAACATTATTTAGTGTGAGTGTGCTTTAACAGCCATCATGGGTAATATCATACATTGCATGGGAGAGCCGGGTGTTAATACATTAAGGAGTTAGCATGGACATTATTTTACCTACTATCTGTAATTGTTCAAGTTGTTAACACAGATTTTTGGGATTGTTAATGAAATTGCTTAATAGTTCACTCTTTTAGATACTATGTCATGTTAACATTTCCATCTGTTAGTCAAGCATAAACATACATAATATTGTGTTTAAAAGGTAATTTTTTCTGATTACAGAATAGCTGTTCATTTTAGGAGATAGGGAACAGTTCAAATAAGAAATATGCATATCATGACCACTGTTAAAATGTTAGCATGTTTCATACTTTCTCCATGCCTGTGTAAAAGGCATTCAGCCTTCTCTCTCTCTCTCTCTCTCTCTCTCTTCTCCTTCCCCATCCTCCGTTTTTTAGAACTTACTGTACATTCTATGACTTGTGTTTTTTTCTCACTATTTTGTCTTAAAAAATTAATTATTCTATTAAAACATCAGTTTTCAGTGGCTTTAATGTTTGATCATATGGTTGGGTTAAATTCTTTTTAATCAGTCCCCTATTGTTGGGCCATATCTTATTTACTCAAACATCTGTTGTTCACACTTGTTTGTTGCTTTAAATAATGCTGGTTGTATTTTCTTGGATATAATTTTTTTTGCACTTAATACTTGCTAGGGTTGAATGCTTAGAAGTAAAATTGGTCACATGGTAAGAAGATTAATGATAATAAAGATTTATACACACATCCATACATTTATAGTTATTTTTATAAATTTCAGTATGCTTCATTTATATTTATTTTAAAAATTTATATTTTATGTTCATTTTTTTGATATACAGTTCTATGACTTTTGACACATGCTTACCATTGCGTAACCACCACCATAATCAAGAAACATATTTGTTTCCTCAGCTCAAAAAATTTCTTCCCTTTGCCCCTTGACTATAAAGTTTATTTTTAATTCTGAAAATATAAAGAAGCAAAAATAAGAAAATAGAAACCACCCGTAAGCCTACCACTCTGTTGTAACCTCTGTTGACATTTTATAGAATACAGGATGGTTTTTTTATTTTCCCTCTTTGCTACAAAAAGAGGTCATACTGTCCTTCGTGTTCATAGTCTTTTCCTTTTTTTCTTTTTTACATAGTATACTTACCGTATATACATTATTATACCATTCGATTGTTTTTTGTTTTTGTTTCTTTGGAATTCTAAGCAACCTTATAATGAACATCTTGGTATGTTGCCTTAATTACGTAAGTACTAGAAGAAGTACAGTTTTTAGACCTCAGTGCATATGTACATTATTAAGACGGATTACATTTTGTCAAGTTAATTTATGAAATGGTTATAGCAATTTACATTATGACCAACAGTGTATAGGAGAGCCTGTTTTCCTGTACCTTGCCAATATTAAGTATTATTATCTTACATTTTTGTCATTTTGGTAGATGAATAATGGAACATTATTTTAATTGCATTTTTGATTTACTGTGGAGTTGGATTTTTTCATGTCTTTATTGTTTGTATTTTGTGTGTGTGAATTGCCAGTCTGTTATTTTTGTATTTTTCTTTTGGCTTTTTTGGGTGGGGGGAAGGAGGAAGAATAAGGCTGTTTTTAAGTATTCTATATGTTAATAACATTAACTCTCACAGTTACATGTTGGGATTTCTTTTCCTCTTTTTGCCATTTTCTTATTCTTTTGACTTTATGATATTTTTTGGTTTTATGAAAGTTTTTATGAGTCCATTCTTACCTATTTCCTTTATTTATATTTTGAGTGTGTGTGTTAAATTTAGAGAAGACTTTTTCTCTTTAGGGTATGTAGTCATGTATATTTTCTTCACACTTAGTTTTGTCTGTCAAAAACTCTTTCTCCATTTATTTTTTCTTTTATATTCCTAACAGTCCACTAAAGGTTTTACTGTGTTGTACTAAGGAGCCATAAATTATATACTTACATATGAATGTATTTTTATCTCATCTTACTATTGTATTTTTTTTATTTATTCATATGCATTCCAGCAGCATCAACTTTTCATTGAAATCTTGTATTCACACTGTAACAGCACAGTGATGTTTAAATGTGTCCTAAGTTAAGCATTTTATCTTTTTTTTCCCCATTGTCTTCTTTGGTTTGCGTTTTAGATATTATCCATCGGATTTCTCTGTAACATTAGGAAAAAACAATACATACTTTGTTAAATAACTGTTTGTTTGTTTTTAACATGCTGCAGGATATGGAAGACAAAGTAAGTAGCAAAACAACAACCTACAAATGTGCAAATGAGTTCACCCAAACTAAGCAGGTAGTTGACAGGCACCCTGACATCTGAGCCAGGCAACACTCGATCACTTAGCAAAAGAACATGGTGCACGGCACAAGGATGGTAATGCCAAAATATATACTTGCTCTATTTCTTATAAGTAATAGTCAGTCATGCACCCAGCATTCACTGAGCAAAAGATATGTTAAAAACTTTACTAACTCAGAGTTATATTGGGAGGTCCCTTCCCTCAGAGATAAAGGTGAATTAAACGTAATATTCAAGATACTAACAACTGTTTAAGAAATGCATTTTTGGCCAGCCATTGTGGCTCACCCCTATAATCCTAGCACTCTGGGAGGCCGAGGCTGGCGGATCGTTTGAGCTCAGGAATTCGAGACCAGCCTGAGCAGGAGTAAGACCCTGTCTCCACTAAAAAAATAGAAAGAAATTAGCTGGACAACTAAAAATATATATAGAAAAAATTAGCCGGGCATGGTGGCACATGCCTGTAGTCCCAGCTACTTGGGAGGCTGAGGCAAGAGGATCCCTTGAGCTCAGGAGTTTGAGGTTGCTGTGAGTTAGACTGATGACACGGCACTCTAGCCCAGGCAACACAGTGAGACTCTGTCTCAAAAAAAAAAAAAAACAAGAAATGCATTTTTTACTAATCTTGAAAAATATCCATAAGTAGCCATCTTTATCATTATTTTTTTAAAGAACCAAAAATATTTTATTACTTATTTTTTGATTTTGTAAATTTAGAAGTGAACTAAAGGTTTTTTAAATTACTTTTAATTATTTTTATTTATTATCATTATGTTAAATTATTGAAATAAACAATTTTAGTAGTTTTTGCTTCCACCCATCCAAGACAACAAATTCTTTGTCAAAAGGGAACTAGGTAACAATGCATATGTTCATATGCAAGTTTCACTGGGCAATTTAAGAGTTCCCAAACATAAGATTTATGTACAAAATGTAATTAAGGCTTTTTTCAAGAAGGTTAGTAACCACGTTTCTTATGCTCAGAGTAAAATCAAAGTTTTTATTGTGCAAAATATTAGTCCTTGAAATTATTCTTTGAAAGAGAAGTTAAATGAGACAGTCTGTAGTGTGTTGTATTCTGACATTTCCAAATACATTTGGACAAAGTAGGACACAGCTGTTACAGTAAAAAAAAAATACAATGCAGACTTACTCTTTACATTTAAATGCGGCAATCATCATCTTATTAATCTTTTTCTATGGCAGAGACCTAATAGATTGCAAAAATCTTTAGCTTTGTATACTTATTTGTAATGCAATTTATACTTTGCTTTGCTGTTGCTGCTTTTTCTTGATATAGTATATTCCTCGTTTCCTTTTTTAGGCTAAGCAGCTGGAAGAGAAAGACCGAGTGCTAAAGAAGCAGGATGCATTCTACAAAGAGCAGCTGGCTAGACTGGAGGAGAGGGTATGACTATTTCTTGTTATTGATTCTCTTCTTTTACCACATCTGCAGCTTTCCCATATATTTATTTAAAAATCAATAAATGAAGGCCTATAACTGCATTTTCTTGTTAAAAAGTGGCCAGGAAGTGAAGAGGCCAAACAGGTAGTTCATTCTACCTCGGAATGTCATTTCTTCTTTGGTCATTTTGGGATGGTTGTGTTACTGGTTCATTGATACATTTTACCACTTACAAACTGCCCCAAATATTTCTCCTTATATGTTTAGAATCCATATTGCCTTCAGGTCAAACAGTACAATGCTACTCTTCACTCCCCCAAACATCGACTAAACTTGAGTATATTTTTAGAAATGGTAGTGTTTTAAAAGATATATTTTCTTTGTGAAAACTCTGTTTTGCTGCATTTGTGGCTAAGAAATGAATGTCTCTTTCAAGAGTAGTAGATAGGTCCCGAAGAGTAGAACTTAAAGAGAAGAGTTAGGAGACGGAGGAGAGATAGTATGTATGTCTAGTCAACATGGACCTAGAATTTGACAGAGATGCAAAGGCAGGAATTAGGACTGAAATACAAGAAGGCAGTGGCTTTAAGAATGGGAGTTTGAGCACCTCATCAGTGCACCCATTCTAAAAGTAGATTTGTTACCTAGATTAATTTCATGCACAGACTGTGAGCTGACAGAGTGAGTCCTCTCTTCCTTTTGATTGAGTCCCCCCAGATTTGATTTGTTTAGAATGTGTTATTTGATAAGAAAGTAGGAAAAAATAAGAAATACACCATTAAACCCCACTCAGTACAGTTATTTATATGTTAAATGTGTTTGCCGTCTCCGTATGTCACTGGGCTGAGTGCTTGAATATAGGGACTATTTTCTCATTCATTCAGCAGATATCTACTTAAGTACCTAATATAAATTAGGCCCTGGTCTAGTGCCAGATATGTACTAGTGAAGACAATGAACTTAACAGCTGCTTTCATGGAGCTTAAATTCAATTTAAAGTCAGTACACGTGCTGTATGGCAGGTTGTGATAATTTGGAGAACAATAAAGCAGGGAAAAGGGATTCCCGGGGCCCAGGTTAGGCATGGGTTGGGTGGAGAGGGAGGGTCCATCTAATGAGATGACATTTGAGAAGAGAAACAGGGAAGTAGTAATGGGGAAGCAAGCCAGTGCCAAAGTCCTGAAGCAGGAGTGTGCTTGACACGTTTGGGATGGCCAGAGGTTTGTCAGCAGAAGAGCGCTCTGACTGTTGTCGTGGGCAAGAATTGAAGCAAGGAAGAATTACTAAGAATTTACGGCAATAATTCAGAGAAGAAATGGCAATGGCTACGGGTCAGGGTGCAAGCAGTGGAAGTAATGATGAAATGTGGTTGGGTATTTCAAAGGTAGAGCTCACTGGATTTGATGATGGTTTGGAACATGAATGACAGAAAGAGCCAAAGGTACTCTAGGTCTATGGCTTTTATAACTATTAAGAGAAGGATGGACTTTCCATAGGGGAAAACTCTTAAGATATGGACTGGGATGTATGTGGGTGGTAGAGGAAATTGGGCATTTGATTTTGAATATGTTAAGTTTGGGACACTTCCTAAGACATTTACATAGAGATGTCGAATAGGCATAAAGTAGAATGGTTTAGAACATTAAGTGAGAAAATTTTTCTGTAAATGGCCAGATAGTAAATGTTTCTAGCTTTTCAGGCCATGAATGGTTCCCTCGCAGCTACTCAACTCTACCTTTCTAATGTAAAAGCAGGCAAAGCCAATATGTAAATGAATTAGTTTGGCTATGTTCTAATTTAAGGACACTGAAGTTTGAATTTCATGTAATTTTCACATGTCACAAAGTTATTTTCTTTTCAACCATTTAAAAATGTAAAACCAAAAATGGATGGTGGGCCAAATCAGGCCCACTGGTTGTAGTCTGCAGAACTCAGGTTTTGAGCACAGTCTCTGAGGTCAGATGCCTTGGATTTAAATCCGTGAACTGGCATTTACCTGCTGTATGATGTGGAGCATTTTACTTATTACCCTTTTAGTTTTTTCATCTGTCAAGTGATGGTATAATAATACTTTCTTCACTGATTTGTTAAATGAGCTAATTCACATAAAGCACCTATAATGCTGTCCAGCACAGAGTAACCACTCATTCATAGTGGCTATTACTTTACTTCTGCACCTGACATTTATGATAAATGTTAGCTGAAATAAATGAAAGTGAAAGTTTTTGAGGTGATTAACCTAGCACCCACTTTTCCCCATCCAATGATAGTTTTCTTTGCCACCATTTTACAATGTGCTGTATGAATTTGCCGTTAATCACTGTCAGGTATGAGCAAAGGCACTGAAAAATATTCACCCATTTCCCATAGATCCACCAGTTTGATTGAGACAATTCATACTGGTACAAGGGACTGAGAGGATTTGTTCTCAACAGGTTAAGCTCGTCTGCTTGGCAAGTAAACTACTGTTTTGGCATCAGGTAGAGCAAGTGGTAGAAGATCAGATGGCTACAATAGGATGAGATCAAGTCATTGTGGTTGTTTCTTCTTATATAGGCAAAATATACTTTTTTCTTTTTTGAAGATCAGGCTGGAAAGTAGTACTCCGAGAATTTAAACTGAAAGCTGGGAAGCACCGGTGAGCTTAGAATCCTGAGGTGGAATGATCACACTGCTATTAGTTAATACTTAATAACTTCAGTATTTAATAATATGGTAGAAGGAAGGCTAATCAGGGAGCCAGAAGGCATGCTTTTGATACCTAGCTGTTTGGCAATTCACCTAATCTCTTGTGGTGTTTGGTTCTTTAAAATGAAGGTGGTACTTCTTCCTTGCTCACCTTCATGGGTGCGGGGCAGATACAATGATATATGTAAAAGCCCCTTGAAAACTGGAAAGAGCTTGTAGGGTATCAGCTGTTGCCTTTAAAGACTATCTACTTTCCATTATGTACAAGATGCTAATAATCCGTAAGGTTGCTTTAGTATTATTCAACTTCCTCATGTCTTCTGTCATGTCTTCTGCCCACTTCTATATAGTCATGTTTTTGTTTATTACTGCCATTTCCAAAATACCTAAGCTGAATTTGTCCAGTTGGATTTCTTCCAGAAATATGTGAGAGACATTTAGGTCTCTAATGATAAAGCGTTTTCTAGGCTTCATGCAAAAGATTGTGAAGGGGTTTTCTCTTGCATTGTGACAGCAGTGAAAATTACAATGTCTAACCATTTCTATTAGGAATTCTGCACACACTTTGTGTTAGAAGGTGTAAAAGTGCTGAATCCAATAATGCATAATGTAAGAAAAATGATTATAATGTTATGATAACTTGCAGAATCATCTAACTTACTGTGAAATCCAGGTTGTCTGTGGTTTAAAAGTGGATATAAACAGATATCTTTCTCCCTTTTAAGCAGATGAAATGATGAAACCATGAAGTCGATACCAGGTGGTTTGTCATTAATGGAGAGGGAAGCATCAATGAGTCTTTTACAGAATCATTCTGAGGGTGATCCCTGAGATAACCTTACCATCTGTTAATCAACTAGATTAACAAACACAACTTGGGTACATTATCACTTTTGATGACTCATTACTGAAACTATTTATTTTTATTGGCTTGATGCAATTTCTTTTGAGAGTATGAATCAAAGTCCACTAAACATGTGAAGCATATTTAGTTCTATGATACAGCTTGCTTTGCTTCTGGGATCTATTTCTATGAACTCTTTACCAATTAGATAATTCCGATGTGTGAATGGAGCTGTCTCCACCCAGGTATTTATATGGGCTAGTCCACCAGGAGTCTCAGATCATTTTCTCCTTTCACTAACTCATTAGGAGTAATAAGTTTAATTTAGCTGGAAACTGATTTCACCCTTCTTAGCAGCAGTATTCAAAAGGAGCAACTCTTTACTGAGAGAGATTGAAGCCATTTGAAAAGTTTTCCAGGTTCTTATTTCATAGTCAGATGTTGATAAGTTATCAAATGGCATCGACATAGATGTGAAAGTAAACATTTATCTTTCAGGAACATTGAAGGGATCACATTTAGATGTGTAGGCTGATTGAAAACTACTTAGAGAGTATTAATTCTTGGTTGTTGGTGTAAGAGACTTGGAGAGTGTTACTTCCTGGTTTCTGATTTGATGAGAAGCAGCCTAGAGAAGTTTTGAAAGAGAAAGTTCTTAAATGTTTTTAAGAAATGGTCTCCAAGTCCCTGGGAGAATTCTGCTTTTTTGTTTTTCCAACTTAATTTTATTATTTTATTATTTTTCTAACTTTATTTTTGCTTTGTTTTATACTTGACAAATAAATCCATAATGCTTTATACCTCTCTATAGGATGCCATATTTTATTTATAGTAATGGTGATTAGTTATGCATGTTTATCTTGCAAACTCCTTGCAGGCAGAGCTCATTTTCTT